ATACTTAATCAATTATTATAAAAAAGGGTCATGTATACTTTTAATATTTTTAATATATATATTAAATTTATAAATTTTTATAAAATTTAAAAATATTTAATATTATATTTTATTAATTTAATTCCACGTATAAATTTTTTTGATTAAAACAAATGAAGCGTTTAGAATTAAAATCGAAGTGAATAATACAGTAAATAATTATTTTATCTAAATTAAAATTGAAGTTACTATTGTGTTTTATTAAGTTGGACATTTACTTGTAAAAAGTAAAAACAACCACAATTCTCTGCACGTGAAGTGAGCGTTGCCAGATAAAACATAAAAGACTTGACCATGAGTGACCATGAGAGTGACTTGCTAAATAACCAGATTAAAGTTGGAATACTTTAATTGAATGACTATTTGACGCGACAGAATGAAAATAAGGTTTAGGGTTGGGTTGTAGTTGTATGTAAAAGATGATTGAAAGAAAGTCAGGCATAAGATATTAGGAGAACAATTATATAATTATTTGTTTTTAACAAATAAATACCTTTACGTTTTAGCTCTTTTAATCTTGTCTTAAATACCTGTACCAAAAAATATCACGTCTTAAATAATAATTGTTATACGGATAAAAATAAATAATTATTATTTTCAATATATATATATTTAATGTTAATAGATTTTTTAAATTAATTAAAATAAAGTGAAAAGTTGAAGCAATATATTTATAACTACACTACAAAAATCATAACTTTACCCAATATATATATATATACCCTCTCTTCTTCTTGTGAACTAAATAATAAAAAAATTATCTTCACTCTCTTTTATTAAAACTCATCCTTTTCACTGTTTTTAACTAATTTTTTTTTAATAATTTTCTCGATTAAAATTCCTCATCTCTTTTAAATTAAACATATTATAAGAAAATGTTTAATATGTAAAATGTTTTTACTTTATTGAGAATCTTAAATTAAAAATTTTGGTCTTCCATATTCGATAATTATTTAAAAAAAAAGTTTTTAATAGTTCAATAATCATTTTTATTTTATTTTTTCACAAAACATTCTTATGATGATAAGAATCTAATTTTCCTGAGCTAGATGGAAAGTCTTATGCATATAAAAAAAAAAATATAATATCCTTTCTAAAACAAAAAAATTTCTTTCTCCTCTCTCACACTCTCGCTCTCCGGTCTCTCTCTCCTTTTATTTCTTTTTCTTCCTCTCTTAGCCTCTCTCATTCTCTTCTTCTATTTTTATTTCTCTTTCTCCCTTTCTCTCTCAATCTCCCCTCACTCTCCCTCCCCCTCTCTTCCTCTCTACCGCTCCCTCTCCCTCCCATATCTCTCTTGTATTTTATTATTTATTGACATTATCACTTTTAATAATATTATTAAAATATTTTTTATTTTTACAGTTTAATGATATTTGTTAACACTTGTTTATTTGGTTTTTACTTGAATGAAATGAAATAATATATTTTTGTCTTACTTAATTATTATGTAACATTTTCTTTTTTATTTTTATTTTTATTTTTTTGTTGAACTATATATTTAAATATTTTTTTACAATGAGATTTTAACTTTTTAAAATAGTTTAATGTCATATTTATAATAAGATTTAAGTAAATAATTGCATATAATTTTTTTTATTTTAATAAAATTATTTTGTAAAAAAAATTTACATACCAAATAATATATTATTGTAATGAAACTTGAAAATATTTAATTCTCAATAATCATGTAAATAATTTCAAAAAAATTTATAAGTAACTAAACAGATTTTAACTATTATCGGTAATCATATTCTCATGATTTGTAATTCATAAGAATCATGATTTGTAGGTATAAAAAACTCTTTTTCAACCAAACGTTTCCTTAAATTATCTTCATCTTCACCTATATTTTGTGAGACACATGAGATCAAGATTGGTCCAAAACTATGGACTAGAAATAAGTTTTATAAAATGAAAGAGACTAAAAATATAATTTTCAAAGAAAATTTAAATAAAGTTATTAAATCATACTTTTTTTAATAAGCTAAATAATTGAAATTAAAGGGAGTACACATGTTACTCTAACCCATTACAATATTATTAAATCATACTAGTTCATGACATGATAACTTGTGTGACTTATCGTGTCATCATTTAACAATGATATTTTATACCAGATATAATGAACGTATATGAAAAAATATAAAGATTAAAATTAGTCAAAATTTTGTTCAAAATGTAATTTTTTTTCTAAAAAAAACTTTTTTATTGTATATTTTTTAAGAGATGTTTAAATTATATTATCTATTATATTTTAAAAATCACGTTCTTCTTTTAAGAAAAAAAATGTTAGTTTATTTTATTAGCAACAAAGTTCTTACGATTATTATGGTGATGTAAATTAATTATTTATAGACATTACTTACAATTTTTCATCGAATAGAAAATTGTTCTCATGTGATGCTATATTAACAGACATGATTATCAATTAAACGTTAAAACATAAAAAGTAATGATTTTCGGTTTTTAATCATATGAAAATTATTTTCAAAGACTATTTGATTAAATATATTTAAAATTAATTATATATATATATATATAGTTTAAATAAATCAAATTTACTATTTATGTATTCTCTTTTTCAAAAAACATTTGTATAATACTTTTATATGTTATTTTATAATTAAAAGAGAATTAAAATGTATATAAGAAAAGAGAGATAAAAATGTAAATATAAATTATGTAATAGAAGAAAAAACAAGTCGTAAACAAATATTATAAAAGTGTTGGTAAAATAATATATTTTGAGTGGCGTCATAAAGTCACTTGGGGAATGGGATAGGGATAGGCCCAGTGGACAAGACGTAACAAGTATGGCGTTTCGCTTTCGAGGGTTTGCCCTGTTCGAGCCCATTTACCATTTTAGTTACTTCCAAATTCCAATTTGGTTCGTGATATATGCACCTCCTTTTTTCTATAATACACCTCTTTTTAAAAAAAAATAATAATTAAATTTTAAAATATTCTTAATTTTTTTATTTTAAATTTTAAATTTTAAATTTTACTTCTATAATATTTAATTTAGTACTTTTTTTTCACATATCTTTCATCATTTTTTTTTTATTTTTACATGCACCCCTTACCTTTCTTTCACTACACCTATTTTGGTAGCATGTGAAAACTAAAAGAGAAAAAAAAAGTGTGTGAAAAAGGGTACTTACCAGAGTCAAATCCTTCACCGGCAAAGAGCCTTTCTTATGCTAGTTATAGTGGGGCTAGTCCATTTTTTCTATTCAAAATGACTGTAAAAGTATATTCATATTACTCTTGGTGACATTGAGCGGAAAGAGACTTTGGGAAGAAGAGGGGTGTGGGGTGTGGGGGTGCGGGGAAGGGAGGTGCGGAGAAAAGAGGTGTAAATTTAGAAATTTAATTTTTTTTTAAAAAGGTAATTTAGACATTTTATATATTTTTTTTAAAAAAGGGGTGTGTTTATACGAGAGTGGAGGTGTGTTTAACATCTGCCTTCAATTTTCCAGTTCTGTAACTGATGGGCCCAAATTCAAAAATCAGATTCCAATTCTGTAGCCAACACCAATGCTAATCGATTAGTCATCTATGTGGGTTGCGGGCATTGCTTTTCCTTTACAGTTTTTATTTTATTTTATTTTAATCTTTTGTGATATTTTCGCGGCTTTTCCCTTTTTTCTTTTGAATAATTTTGGCTCGTTGACTGCTCCTATTTTTTCATACTATTCCGGAGTGTATGAGACATTTTTAATTCGAAATAGAAATAGTTTGATAAAATTCTAATTTTGGTTTCTTTATTTTTATCTATCTACAATTTTGATATTTTTATTTTAAAATAAAAATATTTAGATTTTTTATTTTTAAAATATGAAATTTTGCTCTTAACGTTAATTTGATATTTATTTATCATTAAATTTTAATTTTTTTGTCTTGTGGTAAGTAATATATTATTTAATGATGTAACATGTTAGCATAAAAATTTAAAAATAATATATAAAATACCTTCGTTCGTATCTATTTTAATAAGTAATTAATATTTATTTTATTAATAAATTTTATGTATATGTTTTTGATGTAGTTTTATTTTTATTTTCAAAGGTCAAGTCTATTAAATGTTATATCACTATGTAAACCTTAAAATTTAATAATTAATAGATATTAATTTAATAAAAGATAAAAATTTCATATTTTTAAAATTAAAGATCTAAAACTTAAATATTTTTATTTTAAAATAGAAATCAAAATTACGAATTAATAAAAATAATAAAAAAATTAAAAATGCAATTTAGTCGAGTAGTTTTACACCCTTCAGGAATATATATGTACATAGGAAAAAGAGGGTAAAATATACTTAAAAAAAAAAAGAGAGGAAAGAAGTGACAATTAAATAGCATGATATGTCCAAAAATTGGACTGTGAAAATTGTTAATTTAGTTATGAATAAGCTTTGGTGTCAGCATTATGACATTTTCTCCTCGATTTTGCTTTATATAATTTTCTCTGGGTTCCAATTGAAGTGGGACCGTAAGCCCGAGCCTTCCCTTTAGCAAAACCCACAGGACCCACTGCCCCATACGAATGCACCTTTCTGCCCCGGCAACGCGTGCTTCCATTCCATGTCCCTCTCTCAATTTCCCGGGCTTTTTTTTTCTAACCTTCAAGTACTCCATAATCCACATTCTAAAAAGTGAGAAACGCAACCTAATAAGCACGTGGTCACCTTAATAAGAGCGAGCATATACATGTATCTAATCTTAATTTTTCATCACCATTGTACCCATATTTTCCTATGGAAGCATGTAATTTGTTTTATATAAAGGATACATCACTCTTTTGTATTTTTGATTATTACATACCCGTCAAACAGCATATTGCACGTACCTTACGCATTATTGAGTGCAGGTACAGAACATTCATAATTCATAATTCTCTCTTGCTTATCAATGTAATGGAAATAGATAGAATGAATTTAATGATGCCATAAACCAATTTCTTATCCTTTTTTAAATAGGTACTACCAAACTAATCATACGGTCAGGATCTACTTGTCAGTGGCAAAGGATATGCCACCCAAGGCAACGTTGCAATTTGTTTATTATTGCTACAATTGAGATTTGCGATACAGAAACTAAGGTGCATGTGATTCACCAGCTGACTAAGTTGTTCTATTGATGATTGGTCTCGAGTAAACCAAGGCCTTGTGATCCAAAACAATTATAAAATCTTAGAATACTTGTACTCCTAATATAGTAATGAATTATTTATTCTTTTCTTGGCAGTTAATTTAATATACCCACATTGCTGGACTTGTCTCGGGCATCTCCTCCATAAAACTTGAATCGTATTGGTCAAGGCACTGGGGTTTGTTTGGCATGCCTCAAACCTCATGAAAAATGGAACTTTGGTTTCCGTGAGGGTCTTTGAGGGGAATCTTAAATTCTGCAATATTATACTTAATCTCAAATATTATATACTTACTGTCGATGCTGAGGTGGGAGTGTGAGAACAAACTAGCAGAGTCTTTCTCAAATAAACAAGGTTGTCGCTGAAGTTGTGGCTAAAAGGGAGGAGCTTCTAATTCTTACCTTCGTCTGAGTGAGTCTTTTTTTCGTTGTCTTCGTATACAGGACAGAAAATGTTATGGTATCATCCGTTCATACTTCAGTCTCACAGGTTAGAAGCTAGATACTATTTCTTACAACTTTTTTGCGTTGGAATTCAGTGAATTTGTGTCTGTTAACTTTGCTTTGATTAGGGGAAGGCTCTCATAAAATTAAATAATCCAATGTTCATTATAGAAATCTGTTCCATATTATTTTTTGATTTCACCTGCTGATTTTGAAACTCATAAACGTTTCCTTCGTCCCTTCGGGTCTGCCTGCAATGAAAAATATTTGCTTTGGCCTCACAAGTCATTGAGTTTTTGCCATTTGCATAACTTCAATGAGCGTGTGAATGTTAATTTGTTAGAATTTATGTAGTTATTGGTGCGATAATTTAAACTATTTCTTTAATTTAGTTGAATGGTGTCATTCATGTAATGTATGTGGCTACCTTCATATAGTGGGATAAGGCTTTTTTGTTACTGTAATTGGTGTGTTAATTTAAAGTCACATTGTAACTTTAGATTGGAGCGTGGGTATATACCAAGCGCGCCGTGAAAATTCTTAAAGGTGAAAGTTTGTTTTCTCATACATGAGGAATATGGTTTGGCATCATGCGATGCATAAGCTCTGAACCTTAATTCATGATAAAAAAAAGTTCAGTTGTTATTTCTTTAACAAAATAATTGCCGGAATTACTTCATTCTTTTAAACTTCTGGAGTAACAGAGCCAATTGTCAAGAGAAGGTTTAAGAAAGGAAGGAAGGAACATATGAACTGAGACAGGAAATTAATGATGGTATCACGTACCAAGATAAATGAAGGAAAGTAAGTGGAGGGGCTAAAATGTTAAATGAATAGGTTTCTGTAAGGTCTAAGACTCTATTCCAGCAGGAAGTGAGGAATTAAAATCTCGAAGTACTAATATCCTAATCACATGTTTAAGGGACCATATCACACTATGTTAGTTGGCTACAACTCTAATTAATGATATTACATTAAGCATTTTTAGACCAGGCTACGAAAAGAAGAGAAAACATTGCTGCAATTGGAAGGTTAATTTGAATAATGAGATCGTGTCTTTATATGCTGAAAGATTATGGTAGGAAAATTCTACACATAAAGATATCCATTTTTTTGTTGTTGTTGAGAGTTCATTTCATAATTTCATTCAATATTGGTCCAAATTTTTGGTAGGACAGAAGCAACCGAAGTTGATGTTATCATTTTGTATTAGGCTTCAAGGCTACTCTATACAAAATCTTTTTTTTTTCATTGATCAACTACTTTCTAAGTTAGGATTTTCCTCCTTTCAGCTCAAGGGTGGTAGCTAGTAACTGACATGAAGGTGGAGTGATGCCATACCATAAAATGTATGTATGAACATTCCAACAAAAGGATACCATCATTACAGAAGCTGAACAGATCCACTATGGAGAAAATTGTTAGGCCTTGCGATAAAGAATACATGAGAATGACCATGCTAAAACACCAAGACACTTTCAAAGAGCAGGTACTACTTCTTTTTCTGTTCCTTTGAGCCATTTGTGGTCAATCAGCTTCAATAGAGTCCTGAGTGCTTTGAGAGTGTTTACAGGTGTATGAGCTTCACCGTTTGTATAAGATTCAGAAGATATTGATGAAAAATATGGAAGCCAGCATAGGTTTTGAAGTAAACCAACGAGGATGGAACTTAGAAAATCTGATTAGTTTGACTCAAAATGGTTATCATAAAGGTGCACAGAAAAATCTTAAACTGAAATTTGATCTTGAAAGACCTGCAACGGAGGACATAGCAGAATCTGACGGTGATCAAGTTCTAGAGATTATAAATGAGAGTGAGATTGAGCTGACACTAGGCCCTTCAAGTTACAATCGTAAGAAAATGGAGACATCACTAACTTCAGATTCGGCACATAGCTTGTCTTCTTCTTCTTCTGGATCCAACCTTATTAACAAGACAATATTGAAGATCCCTCATAGCAGTCATTCAACTATGGAAGAATTAAATGGAGGCATGATTGGCCTTGTCCAGGTGCCACAAAGTGGAATTAGAAACAGTTATGATATTGAAGAACAATCAAGACAAGAGAGTTCAAAACAGCCACCTTGGTTTTTTCAAGTATTGAGTCTTAACACGACCTAAAAATATTCCAAGGTCAATGTGATGTGATGCATACTTAATTACTGTTTAAGACTAACTTTGTGATGACGTTTCTGTGAAAATTTCTTCTTAGTTATCAATGATGAGGGTGTGATGATATCTTGTATAAAGGTTACTTGTTTTCATTGTTAAACAAATCCATTATAATTCCGGAATCACATATGGCTGATATTTCTTTGGTTTTGTGACTTTTCAGTTTTACATCATAATCTTTGCCCCCGAAACCATGAAACACGGAGCCATGTCTATGAGATTATTAAGCCCTTTGTTAGCCTCGTGCCCGGAAGAAAACGATATATGTTATTTTCCTTTATAAATCAAATCATTCAATTAGGTTCCGATCTTGAAATTCTGCCTTCCAAGAAAGCAACTTTGGATAGTAATACTTCCATAATATGACAAAATTCGTTCACCCTTAGTCCTAAGTCCTAACTAACACTGGGGCTTTTCTCACTGTGCATCTCTCCAAAGCAATTGAACTCAGGCGACTAGCTGATTTAGGTTATATTTACATAAACTTCTACGTAAACATTAATAGAAAAAAGAAAATAAAAATTAGTCTCTAACAATCATTTGTCTGAATTTTCATCGAGAGTCGAGACCCTAATGACCGAGTTAGCCATGCTATTTGGCATTTGCGAAAGAAAATGGAATAAACCTGTTCGAATCAATCAATCAAACAGATGAATTCGATCCATCTTTTCCACGAATTTCTCTTCTATTTGTCTTTTCGATCTCGTGGTTAATGTTCAACAATTTGCTCGCATCCCACGTGCCATGGGGGAGGGGAACAGTTTCTCATGTCTCCCATGACCATTTTCTCTAATACCAAGTAGATGTAATATTGTAGTTGTTTCCTAGCTACATTAAGTGAATTATAGTAACGATAATATAATAATAATAATAAATAAAAACACTTGGGTAAATAGCTCCACATTAATTAAAAGCCAACACTACGGGGGCAATTCTGGAGAATTAGGATCAATTATCATGTTTTTGGACATTAGTCTTCTAAATTTTGGACTAAAATCTACACCTGATGATCTCACATGAATATATCACATCTATAGTGCTAGCTGGTTGGCAAACATGATTACCCCATAGGGGATTATTGCGTCTTTGTCTTCCAACTTCACTCCATCAAAAACCATATCAAAGGGAATCAAATGTTAAGTTTGGATTATAGAAACTGATAAAACGAAAAAGAAATGAACGAAATATTACACACCAATTTGGATCTACTTCTACCTACCATAACGATTTAGCAACTCAATAATCAAGACCACTTAAAGTCATGCGTACAGGTCATAACTCATAAATATTATGATTTTAATTTGTTGGAGACTGGTTGCGGGAGTAGTAGAGGGCATGGATTGATTGAAAACGAAAGCATATTGCAATGGGGCAGGCTATGGCCATAAGATGCATGTCCTGTAATATTCGGAATTTGAATCCAATCCAAACAACGTAGAGGTCAGATAGAGAAACCCATCTTATGTGAATTGAAATAAATCAAGACTCTGATGATTAGTCTGCATTCTAAAAGGGACCCTTTTCATGCATGATGTGAAAACACGAACCTAAATTATGACTCTTATCTGTACGAAAGCAAGATTCTATTATTACCAAGAGCACCAATTATTGTACAAGACATCCTAACACCCGCACATACAGCACCTCCGGAAATCAACACATGTAAAGTATAATCAACAAAAAAAGCAACAACCACTGTAGTAGTTTCTTAGGGAAAAGAGGTGATTATGGGGCTGGGGACTTACCATCTTTCCTAGTTGATTAATTGCTATGTGGATTAACAGCTATGTGCTAGTACATAAGTTTTCTGAACGTACCCAACACCATGCATATATGTGCATCTTAGTATTTATTTTAAAAAGTAAAATAAAAATAAAATAATAAAGTAGGTAATTATTAAAAAACAAGAGTAATTAATAAAAAAATATTAATTTTAGTTTTTTTTAATAACAGAAAAATATAATAATTTATCAAATGTGAAGACTAAAAGTGATTATTAAAAGGATATCCATTTTATATATTTGTATAAATAACCCGAAATATTTGTATAGATGACAGAAAAAATAACCTAAGTTGTGGGGGAGGGGTCATTCCAAATAACATCTGTTAATATTATTGTTGCTTACAGAAACACAAGAGGTGTACGCATTTTTCTTTTTTCATTAATCTAATTTTATTTTCCATGATGATTCATGAACTTACAGGCCAACACGAAGTTAGAGATCTAGTTCCTGTCTACGATCTGTTGGACAGCATATTCTTCCAAATACTTAAACATCTTTAAAATGTTCTGGTAAGGTATGTCCCAAAAGATATTTAACATGCTAAATTTCATGCCTTTAGAATATTCATGATATGAAAACGAACCGTGATCTCTTTCTTTTCATTATGATTAGGCTTTAGACATCAACACCGACACTGCAAGGCTGTCACTTGAACTATTAGTCTATTATTCCATTTACGGAAGCTTTTTATCTTCCAAGGACTAATAATTTATACATATACCCCACCATCTGCTGTTATCAGATTTTGTATTCTTCCAGTGATTTTATGGTCCATTTTATCTTTAGGAAGACAAGATCTCACTGTGAGAAGCAACTTGACCCACCTAATTTCCAGATTTCGTGTGTAAATGTGAAAGTGCTCTGGGTGATATTTTACACCCTTGATTCATGATTTTTTTTTCTCTCGTGATTCATTGTTAATGGTGTGCGAAATGCAGATGATTTTCGTTCCTATCTTTCTCCTTCACCACAGATAATTGTACACGATGAAGTTTATTATTCTTGTATTACAGCATTATTATTGCCACTCACCAGCTAGAAAGCAATCCAATTCTAGAACTATTATTTATTTTTCATCACACTTTACAATATAGTTTGCACCAAAGGATCATAATCATACAAATGATATAGATGAAGCAAAAAAAAAAAAAAAACTTGGAAAGACTAATCCTGTATTTTCAAGCCTCTGAATCTAAGGAAGAACCTTTATTTTAGTCTGCAATCTGCATTATGGCCTCAGGAAATGGAGTGGCGTCGATTCTTATTTGGTTTTGTGCGACCTTTGGCAAAAGGTGCGACACCATCGGCACGCACAAAAGGAGAAAGCCGACCAAGTTTTTTGGACACTGAACTTATGAACGATCTTCGAGGCAGAGGAGGTTTATCAGCAGAAGGTGAAGCACTCACCGCAGGACTGTTACCTGCTGATTTAAGCGTGGAATTTTCAATCTCTTTTAGTTGCATTTTCAACTTCACTAGCTCTAACTTCAGGTCTTCATTTTCTCTTCGTAAGGTGGAGAGCTCATTCGAAACTGGATGAAGATCAGTGGAGTATACGTTCATCTTGGAATCAACCGAAGATTCCCCGCTTCCACTGCCATTCATGGCATCACGAAGTCGTTGCTGTTCATAATAGAGAACTTGAACCACAGTTTGCACCGGTAGCCGGTCATTTTGAGCAGCATGTGCACAGGCCTCTCGCGATAACTTCTGACAGTCCATCACACTGCAAACTTTCTTTCTCTCCATGTCACTTAGATTAGGATGAGCCTGAGAATAGTCAATTATTGGCAATAATTCAAAATAAACTCACGTGTAAAGAATTCTATATCAAAATAGTAATGCTATTAAGTCCTTGAATTTGATGATAATTCTGTTATAAATCCATTTGTGTAATTTAGCAAATGAACTATGATAAGATTAGATCTAAAGCCAGTTCAGTTTGAAGAAGATTGTGAGTATACGCTGCTGGAGATGAAAAATTATTACATGGTCCAAGACCATTATGTGTTTATGGTTGACTAATCTCTGTGACACCAAACTAGGTTTTTTAATTTACGAAAAAAAATGTTAATAAAATTTGACTGTCTTGTGGACATTGTCCAAGATCATAGTAGTTCCATGTAGTAATTTCTCAAAGGAGATAGGTATTTAGAGTCTGGTTCAATACAGATCATACAAATTTAAGAGTTTATGAGAATTTTTTTACTGAAAAAACTCTTTATTTTTAATAGATAAATTCTAAAAACTCTTCTAAATTTGTATCAAAATAGAGTCTTAAACTTGCTTTATATAAATGTGTGTTCGCTCTGTTGTTCAAACAAGAGGTATCAACAGTACAAAAACTAAATATCAAATTTGTGGTATGATTAATTTGATATAGAAAATGGATGGTAGTCTTCACCTTAAGATAGATGTCTAAGGCTCTATACATCCCATCTTCTGTTGGCCTTGATTGTTCAGGAATTAATTCTGCCAAACAGGTGAACTTTGAAACTGGTAAATTTCGGTCGGTGGCTATTTCAGCAAGGTAGTTTTCCATTAGCTTTCCAACCCGCTCCATATCACTCTGTGGAGGAGAGAAGTATTCATCATCTGCATTGTAGATTAAGTGGTTTCCCATTTGAGATTCTAGGTAATTAGTCATGATCCTCTGCACTGTGTCCACATCAAACAATGTGTCCCCAGTGAAAGAATAGGAAGGAATGAGAAGATCGTCCAAAACAGCCTGTCCTAACTGCATGGCCATCCTCTTCTCCAAGTCAAGCCTGCAAGCAACTGTTGTCTCGAGATATATTGCTGCCCTAAGCAGCATACAAAGAAAGCTTACTGACATTGCATTCTTCTCCCTTGGCAAAAGACTAACTATTGTCTCTAAAACAACCCTCTTTTCATGCTCTTGTCGTGGCTCAATCTTCTTCCTTGCCTTTCCAAATACATCCTGTTCCTCAAAAAAAGGTGATTAGAGTTAAGGATTGAATCCACGAATCCATAAAATCATAAAAAAGTCTGTTTGATTACAAGTTTAGAAGTGTTTATAAAAGTTTTTATGTCCGAAAAAACTCTCAAAAGTATTTTTACCTTGTATTCAGATAAGTTCAAAATCATATATACTTAACATTTCCATCATTTTAGAGAGGGATCTCACCAAACCTCGTAGAGATTTCTGTGCATAGAGCATTAAAATGGGACCAATGGCATACTGCTTAAACCCTCTTGCCATCATTGCGATTATAACTCTTTGGAAAATGTCAATTCTAAGCACAGTCATATCTTCAGCCCACCAATCAACCACTGGTCTCTGGTTTGAAGCCATGGAAGACACCACTCCCACAGAGCCACCATCACTTCTTGCAGATGAACAAAATTGGCTTTCCTTGCATGCTATAAATGCAATGGCATCTATGCATCGACTCACCAACTTTGCTCTCTCTGCTATTGGAAGAAGGTTCTCTGACACGTGCAAGATAGACACAGCCCCTGCAATGGTCTTCAGTGCCACTTCGTTCAAATAAGCATCGGTCCTTCCCACCAAGTTTCCAACTGAATAGTCCTCTGTCATCTCAAGATACTCAGCCACGCAGCGTAGTGTAGCAATGTTTTCAATGTTTATTTCGAAGTTTATCCCGTAGCAGAATTTTGCTGCCAGTTCAAATGCTTCTGATCCTCCAGGAATATCAGAGAGTTCAATAAATGAAACGTCAGCATCGTTGGATTCTGAGACGAGTTTCCTAATGTATCCACACTTGGAAACTAATGGAAACTGCAATTGAAGTAGATGTGTAAGAGAATTCAAAATTAATTGTTAGACCATCTATACAATAAAATATTGCTTCCTTCTGATTCCTAATTCATGTTCTATATTTAGCCAAACAGCAAAAAAGCTGGGACATAATGAAAAAAGGAATGTAACTAATAAATAGTTGATTGAGATGTTCACTCTAAACAATACACTTTTTGAAAACTCATAAAGTTGGGTATGAACTTGAGTCCAATGGGCTCTACAACGGGTACAACAACTAACAAGTAAAAAATCGTTAGTTTGCTTCAACAAGTACCAAAGAGTTGTGTTTGAATTGGTTCGCTACCTTATGTAACGAAAATGAAGCTTCCCCAACTTGAACGTTGACATCACTTGGAATCTCTTGAGAAAAAATCCTATAATTAAGTTCAACTCATGAGTTTCAATCAAGAGAAGCAGGTTATGTGCATTTAAAACATTAGTTTTTGAAAACAAGTAGCATATACCATTCACTTGTTCTCTTCATGGCACTAGAAAGAAGCTCCTTCTTCTTCAGAGACAAGTCACTACCAGCAGGTACGGTTTTCTCTTGATCCATCATGATTTCTAGCTCACGATAAATTTTCTATGTTACAGTTGATGGTGAAGCAGAAAAAGAAAGGAAACAGATTGAATCAGTAATTGTATAGGCTCAAGGTAATCTTTTCTATTTGTAGATTCCTCGTACATTTTCTTCAGGACAGGGAGTGAAGATAGGAGAAGAGAGTACTTTTTATCCTTTGGAACCTTTTTTTTTTCTTTTTCCGAATGAGAACTTCAACGCTGAACCGAGAAAATATTGTGGAATAATGAGGATAGAGTTAGAACGTGAACCTCAAATAAGTTTCAAGCAACGTTAATCCAACAAATGAGTAGGCCAGTGAATTTCCAAAACAAGGTCTTTGGTGAATGAGAAAAAGCAACTATATGGAGGGTAGGGGAAGGAATATGAAGGGGTAGTATCGACATTATGAAATAGGAAGAGGGGCAAATTTCAAGCATGAAGATGTACTTCATGGTGTGTGGTGTGTGCTTAGGGAGTTTGTGTGGAAAGGATGAGATCGTTGCATGTTGTTTGGCGTCTAACGCCGTTTTTTTTCCACACGGGGTAGTTTAATTTCTTTTCTATTCCCGTCCACAAACTGCAAAGGTGTCTGACCCATTTTTTAATTTCGTATAATTATATATAATACTTTTTTACGATTTTTAATATTGATTCTATTTTTTATTTTATTTATTATCATCATAATGTTTTTTAAAAAATAATATAGAAGTAATTTTAAGTTTAATACAATTGTTTATAAATGAAAAATAAGATGAAAAATAAAAAAAATAGAAATATTACTGCGAGACACTTTTGTCTTACTCCTAATTTTTTTTCAACAATCCAATTGTAGAAAATAAAAAATTTATTACAAATTTGTTGTCCACAACTCAACTTGATCAACAGTGAACGAATTTATAATAACAAATAAAAAAATGTTGCTCGGTAAATATGCGAACTAAATAATTAAACTTTCTATCTTCCTTTCTCTTTATATTTTATTGTTAATAATTCTTTTTGTTCCAACTTGAATCTTTTTTACTTGATTAAGTGAGACATAATGAACTTACACATTTGAGTTTATTCTTCACATAGGAAGGAAATCCAACACTCAATAAAAAACATTCTAACGTTTAATTTAGAGTGTGACTCAGAATAATAAATACGAGTAATAAATGGGTGAACAATATTTTTTCTTTAAGATTCATTCTCTTGTTTATACATATCATAATAAATTTTGAGTCCGTCAATTTTTACCTGAATACTAATTAGGTAATTTGACGTTAATGATGATTTGGTGTACTGAAAGTTTTAGTAATTTTGATTACTTTCATCTTCACCTTTTTAGTTCCACTATTTGTTGGGAAGGGTCCTTAGCATTTAGCCACCCAAATCTCTAATCCTTCTTTTAATCATTCTCATGCCTTAACTCGTAGGTATTTAGTTGTCTAGGTTTGAATATTGAGTTGCAAGGTGTTTGACTACCTACTTGGAAGGGTTCTTAGCATTTAGCCACCCAAATGTCTAATCCTTTTTGTAACAAAAATGATACATCCTCCGAAAGTAACCTCCGAAAAACATTCCGAAAACTAAAATATTAATTTAAATTATAAAATATTAAATTAAATAATTATTTTATAATAAATTTATTAAAAAATATTAATAAAATATTATTCAGAGGATGATTCGGCCTCTATTTTTGGAGGCTGTAACAATGTTCTTTTTTAATCATTCTCGTACCTTAACTCGTAGGTATTTGATTACCTAATAACTCAAATACTAAATGTAGAAGTTTGATTAGCTAAATAAGATGGGTATAAATAGTAATCTTACCCTATTCATCTCGTAAAATAAATATTCAACTCTATCGATCAGGCATATTTTTACAAAAAAAAAATTAATATTTGCAAAATATTCATAAATATTTGTTAAAAGATAAAGAGAATTATAAATAATTTTGAAAAAGATTTTAATAACTTTTTATTTATTCTAATAATTCCTTTTTCTTAAATTTTTCTTAAGTTTAAAGATTAATGTCACAAGCATTAGTAACTTCATGGACTAACTCGATGGATTATGGAGAAGAATAATACACCCGCAACGACGTGTCGTTTAGAAGCCCACAGGCAGCGTTTGGCTAACTAAAGAAAATGAAACATGAAATATCTAGGACAATTATCCTGCTAAACGAAGAGTGTGCCACGCTCTTCACCTTATCCAACCCAACCCGCTAAACCCTCTCATCCATGGCGTCAAACCCCACTCACAAACCCACGAATTAACCATCTTAATGTTCCTAACCCACCTTCTCCAAACACCACTCCCCACAACAGTTACCAATGGAGCTTTCTTCCTCCCTTTTCCTCTCCCCAAAACCATGTAACTACTCTTTCTCATCCTCCCTCTCACCGTTCCCAATTCAACTCCTCATCAGAAACTCCAAATCCCTAAACCCCCCTTTCCGGATCCTCGCAGTAGCCGTGGAACCGCAACAACACTTGCCCAAGAACAGTCCACAGCGTCTCCTCAAGGAACTCGCGGAACGCAAGAAAGCAACTTCCCCCAAGAAGGGACCTCCAAGAAGGTTCATTCTGAGGCCCCCAATAGACGACGAAAAATTAGCGGAAAGGTTCCTCAACAGCCCCCAACTCTCGCTCAAGTCCTTCCCTTTGTTGAGCTCGTGCTTGCCCTCGACGCGTCTCAACAATGCCGACAGGTTGTGGATCGACGAGTACTTGCTCGAGGCGAAGCAGGCTCTGGGGTACTCGCTCGAGCCCTCGGAGGCGCTCGGCGACGACAACCCCGCGAAGCAGTTCGACACGCTGCTCTACTTGGCGTTTCAGCACCCCTCGTGCGAGAGGACGAAGGCGCGGCACGTGCGGTCGGGGCATTCGAGGTTGTGTTTTTTGGGACAGTACGTGCTGGAGTTGGCGCTGGCGGAGTTCTTCTTGCAGAGGTATCCGAGGGAGTCGCCGGGTCCCATGAGGGAGAGGGTGTTTGCGTTGATAGGGAAGAGGAGCTTGCCTAGGTGGATTAAAGCCGCGAGCTTGCAGAATTTGATTTTTACTTTTGAGGAAATGGATAAGATTATGAGGAAGGATAGGGAAGGCCCTGTCAAGTAAGTTCTAACTTTTACTCTCATTTCATATGGTTGAGTTTGATTCATTTGATAACGTAGTTGCCATCAAGTATTGTTTAGGAAATGGATAAGATTATGGCAGTGCTACTGCGCTAGTAATGTGAATGCTCTCTGCCAGTCTGGAATTGTGTTGTGTTTTTTCTGCTAAGAACCATCTTGTAGCTAGAATTCCATTCGAGGAAACTTCTCCAGAAACATTTTTAGGAGATAAAAATAGAAAGAAAAAAAAATAAATAAGTTTTTCCTCGAGTTAAAATTATCTTATGCAAAAGTTAATTTGAAGTAGTTGTATCCCATTAGCTTCTCTCAAAACTTATTTTTAACCTATGAATAAGTTAATTTTATCTTATAAAGAAGTTTATTTTGATTTTTCTTTCTATTTTTTTATCGTAAAAGTGTTTCCGAAGATGTTTATCTAATCATACCCTTACTTCTAGAGTTACAGGTTGTCCATGTTCGGCAATGAAATAAAATTAAATAAATAACAATATGACTGGTTTGGTATAATGAGCATTTCGTGTGACTGGTCAAACTGAGTTGAGTTATTAGGTTAGCTGTTGACATGTGTATTTCTTCACATGAATTAAGGTTATACTGTGGTTTGTTTTTAAGTTGGTTAATATGGTTTTTTGTTTTCCTCTCTCGGTATTCTGTTGAGTGACTTTTAGAAAGTAGTGTGTCTTATGCATGGTAGTTGAATCGAGATACAAATAATGTATCGGAAGGCTTATTTTTTGAATCGTGAATCGAATCGTATCGTGAATCGTAAGCTTCATGATCAATAAAAACATAGTGTATATATATGCATACAAGACATATAAAAATGAAGTCATACATAAATATATAGTAATTAGTAACATATAAACTTCAATACAAACAAAGATACAATTATACAAATAATAACAGTCTCAAAGCCAAAAGAAATGACTCCACAGTTCAACAACAAAACCTCCAAAAAAAACTATTGTTGTTGCTAAATATATGCATATACCAGGGACTGTTTGCTACTCTAATTCAGCAATATAGCTACCCAAAAAAAATATTAGTGTTGTTGCTGCATAAACTCAGCAACAAGTGGTGCTACTGCCACACAAATTCTGCCACACAACCAAGTACCAATAAATAGAAACTTAGACAGCAGCAAGAGAGGGAAGTTGTAGAGGGAATAACAAAGAAAAAAAGAGAGAACAAGCGAAGGAATGGACCACACAACAAGAAGGGAAGCCCTTACCTTGGACCACGATGAACAGCAACCCAAACGAAGAAGTTGAACGACGCAAATGGACCACAAAAAGTGAAACCCACTAAGTGGGTCATGTACAGGAAGTATAAGCGGCACTTTCTGTCTCACTTTCGTTTATTTTAAAAAAAAAATAATAATCATTTTTTTAGGGTTTTTAGAACCGGGTCATGCATGACCCGACCCGGTTTCGGGGGTGACCCGCTACGTCTAGAATCGTGCGATTTCTCCTTAGAATCGCGATTTTCCGATTCCGAACACGATACAAATGATTCGAACACGATTCATGATAAAAAAACGAGTCAACATGCGATTCGAATCGCGGAGCCTCGGAATCGTATCGTATCGTACGATACGAATCGCGAATCGTGCGATACTTACTACCATGGTCTTATGTGCTTGGGATGTTGAAAAATAGAGATTTCGATTTTGAAAATTATGTTGGTGTTATACTGGCTTCAAACAGAATGGTTGACTGAAATGTGAAGTTATGTGAGTCATTGTATGCTTAGTTTCCATCTTCTTTTTGAGTTGAAGTTGTTTGGTGATTAATGAATCATAATAGCAAGATGTTTTGGCTAGTTTAGTGTCTAAAAGGATTTAGGAAAGAGAAGGCAAAATTTTGAAATGGATTTACCCATACGGTCTAAGAACTCCAAAGCTACTTTTGATTTATACTATGTAGGGGATAGTAATGTGTATTGCAGTTCTCTCTGTCACAGTTCTGAGACAAGATAACTATACAGTTACACAGAGTAGAGTAATGTGTGTCACAGTTCTATCTGTCGTACACAGATATCTCTTAACTGTATACTGCTTTTTAGTTGCGTGGCTTTTGCAGTTCTCTGAACTCCATTGCCTGCAACCTTCAGAATCAACTCTAGGTAAACAGGTGGATTCACGACAAAGAGAGCTTCATTGAACAGAAAGCATAAGACGAAAATGAGAAAACATCTCTCGGTTGTTTCTATTTTCTGGTTTTAAAACTGTTTTGAAAATATTTTTCAAAACTTAATAGATTTTGGATGAGAAATTGATTGCTTTAGTAGTGTGGAATTGTTTAGAAACAGTTTTTAAAAGAAAAAAGTGAGAAGGGAATCAAACAGACCCTTACCCTTTTGGATGATTATTCTTCCTTGCTTTAGGGTCATTAATATATGATAGAACCATATGTGTAAATCCATTTAGAAAACCAAACCGATCCACTTCATAAAAAATGGTTTGGTTAATTGAACCGATTTTAGAAAATGGCCTAATTCAGTTTGGTTTAGTTTTTTGAAAACACCAAACCGTGAAGAGCCCTAATTTAAATGAATGAAGTTGGTCTCTGTTCAACCCATTTATGAAATGAATTGTTCACTACATTTTCACATTTGTTGAACTATGGCAGGTCAGTATTTCGGGCTTTGTTTGGGGCTATCTATCTTTGTTTTGGTATGCCGGAAGTGTATCGTGTTCTTTTTGAAGTCTTCGGAATGGATCCAGATGCTGATGATTGCCAGCCCAAGTTGCGTAGACAACTTGAAGATGTGGATTATGTATCTGCTGAGCTTGAAAGCAAGCTAAGCTGGCAGGATATCGTTGCATATAAGGCAAGCTACACACATCTTCTGCTGAAGTATTATTTATTTTTATGAAAAAAGTTAGTGCACGAAGATCTATATTCTATACGTGATGCACATAGCTCAGAATTAATTAATCCATTTCTATTAGAAGTTGTGTTTTTCTTCACTATTTGGCAAATTTTGTTACAGAAATGATGTTTACTGTTCTTCATTCAGCCACCTGCAGATGCTCTGTTTGAACATCCAAGACTATTCAGAGCTTGTGTTCCCCCAGGAATGCATCGATTTAGGGGCAATATATGGGATTATGATAGCAGACCCCATGTTATGAAAACACTTGGATATCCATTAGAAATGACAGACAGAATCCCAGAAATTACTGAAGCCAGGAACATAGAACTTGGACTTGGATTGCAGGTAGCTATTCTATCACCTCTCATTCTACTTTTTCCCTTTGCTGTATCAGGATATCAAAAGCACAGATCTGGCTTGATTTGTAAGAGTAGGGCTATGTTATACCTTAAACGTGTCTCTGAACAAGTGGACAGTCTAATGCTTCTATTTATCCCTTCTCAGGCTTCACATTATGTGGCATCTAATCTGTTTAGTCATTAGTGATATATTGAGGCTTTGTTTGTTTGTCAGAGTTGCCGAGCCATTTAGTCTACAGTGATAAATTCAAGTTTTTTTTATGTGGAAATTAGGAAGGTAAATTTAAAAGAAGAAGAAATACTGAGAAACTGGCTTTACTGTATTTTTCTCATCACAGCATAGGTCAACTCATAACAACAAAGTTCTTCCTTAAAACACCCAAATACTAAGCACATTAATAGTTGAGATAGGAAATAGTCAATGTATTGGGTTATTGAGTCAACTTGGTTCTTAGACCCAACTGTGGAAGATGCAAAGTCGGTAGTCAGAAGTTAGAAAGTTCCCTGGCTTTTGTTCAAGTTCTGATGTTGAATTTCTTATCTAATTGCAGCTTTGTTTCATGCATCCATCAAAATACAAATTTGAGCATCCTCGATTTTGCTACGAGAGATTAGAATACATTGGCCAAAAGATACAGGTACTATTCTGTCTGCTGTCCAAATGACAATTTGACTTTGAAGTTGTGGAAAGACTCTAGTTTCATCAATGAGATATATCATATTTTATTACTCAAGTTCTATTTACAATCTAATCTTCATCATTGGATAATGTATAATTTTTAATTTTTTTTTCCTCAAGGATTTGGTGATGGCTGAAAGATTATTGATGAAGCATTTAGATGCTCCCGGGTTGTGGGTGCAAGAGAGGCACCGTCGCCTTCTTATGAACAAGTATTGTGGAAGATATTTGAGGGCTAAACATCTCCATCGGGTTATTATATTTGATGATAAGGTTCAAGACACTTTTGAGCACAACCGGAGGAAAAGAAACCCAGCCACAACAGCTGTTCAACAAGCTCTTCATGGTCTTTCATATCTTGTTTATGGGAAACGTGATGTGAGGCGTCTTATGTTTGAGGTTTTTGACTTTGAGCAGATCCAGCCTAAAGAAATAGTCTAAATATGGAGACATAAGTGACAAAGATAAAAGCTCTTTCGTTTTCCTTTTCTATCCCCTTGAATTTGAGCTTTTTTCTTATTATGATTTGATCCGCATAGTTGCAGGCGAATTGCAGATTCTTCTTTGGAAGTTGGGCTTGTACATAATCGCTGTATTTTAGTTTTTTTGGGATACTGCACACTTTTGACAACCCCACGTACAAAGATGATACATATATGATTTATTCTACTCGGCTCAGACCATGGACCAAAAGCATGAGGACAAAAAGCTTTACGTTGGTATATGATTATGAATTAGACCGACATTTTCACTACACAAATGAGAAAACTAAGTGGCTTTTAGTCCACCAGTTCCTTTTGAAGCGGAGTTTGAGAATTAGTGATCATTTACGTAATTTACATTTTTGGCTAACAATTCTTCGGGTTGTTTTGGTCGATTGAGAGGTTGCCACTGTTACGATGATGCCATCCATGTTTGTATGCACGAGTTGATTGGCAAATAGGTTCCTCTAGCTAAGTTTTTATTCAGTATTATTTTATACTATTGTAATGTAACTGCTGAGATTTCATGTCAACTAAAGATAGGACTAATGTAGTTCTTTTAAAAGCGTAGTTAATTTTAATTTTATAACTCAATATTGCAGGGTTAAATTAATTTATAAACTTATATTTTAATATGGTATTAGAGTGTCATAGATCTGTTATTGAGCCGCTTATATTTTATATGTCCAATCCCAGGTGTTATTGAACCACATATTTGCTTACGTTCCAGATGTTCAATTTTGAGCGAGGGCGTGTTGAGATTTTATATTGAATAGAAGTATGTTTAATGTAATTTGTATAAGTCTTTGAACAACTTTCATCTTTCAAATTAATTTAAATTAATTTTTATGAAGTTAAGCTAGGCTTTAATTCTAAACTTTAAATGTAACAAAAGGTTGTAACTTTGTTAAGGATTGGGAGAGGATCCTCGTATATGAAATTTGGGTAGAAAGTAATTAATGGTTTTGCAATAAGGTATAATGAACTTATAGTTGGGGTTTTGTGCTTTTAATGTACGAAGATGATTTAGCTCTCCCAACTTGCAAGTAGGATGCTTACATTTTATTTTATTTTATTTTACGTGTGAATCAACCTATTTTATAAACATATATTTTCATTATGTTGGACTAGAGGATTAGATGCAACCTTTAAAAAATAAATGAAATAAAATAAAAAGTAAACAAATTTTTATTATATTGGACTAGAGGGAGCTCTACATTTAAAAAATAAAAAATAAAATAAAATAAGAGTAAAAATTAAATACCCCTTTACCCTTTACTTGATAGAGGCTGAGGAATTGGAGATGATTGAGAATAGATAAGAATTGATTTAATATGAATAAGAAATAGAATGAAATTTATAATTGATTGATAAAGTGAAATTAAGTGAAAAATAGAAGTGAATTGATATTTTGAAATTGTATTTTATGTATTTTATGAAGTTAGACTTTTTATATAAAAATAAATAATAAAGTTACCATTTTACCTTTTTATGCATTAATGTGTGTCATACATTTCAATACATATAATGCATTACAATTATAGCCTATTGGAATATGGTGAGTGTATTAATATATTTTTTATGCACATAATGCCATATAATTATAATATATTGAAATATGGAGAGAAAAAAAAATCAAAGTCATAAGTAAATATCACAAACAACAAAATTAGATAGTAAACCATAAGTCAATATCACATCTAACATGGTAGCACTATTGCACTACTATTTTTGTAATTGAAGATTTGATGTATGAATCTGGAAGCCATTTTTGGTTAGTTGAGATGTGAACATTCTTGCTATCAAACATAGTGACACTAGAGACTTGCAAAAAGTGTTATATAGTGAATTACTTTCACTTATTTATGCAAGAAATGTCAGTTAAAAAGCACCCTATTGATTGTTTTATGGTCTTTTTTCCTAGGCTTTTTTTCAATAGTTTTTAGCTTCAAATGTTTGCTCAGCTAAATTAATCGAGAGTTTGATGTCCTTCTCTTTTGGCTTTTCTAACTGAAAAAGAACTCCTATGGTTTATCTAGTGACTTAATCCCAAATCTCTAACCACTTAGATTAGCATAATAGTTGGAGTAAATGCATAAGGATCTAGATTAGATTTTTATTGTCGTCTTTGTAATCTTTTCAATAGAAAAAAAGAATCCCAAATCCCACACTCTAAACTTCTGTTAGTACTATTAGTAACATGCTGCAAATTCGTAATCTTCTATATGGTTTGTACTTAATTTGTAGCATAAAGACAATGCTTAGCTTATTTCTTGTCAAGAATTTGTTTACTATCTCAACTCCCTTTAATTTTCTTTTCACGTAATATTTTTCCTACAATTATTGTTAGATTAAAACTTTACTAGAAAAAGGGTTATCTAAATTTTCCTAGGCTTGTATTTTACAATTGTATTGTAAGGATAACCTGTGGTTTCTTCTTAAATGTCACTGACCAGAAGCTATTTTCATGTGTTATGCTTTAGTTTCTCAGATACTTTAAGGGGCCTGAACTTCTTATTGAGTTGCAACACTATGACTGTTCATTAGACATGTGGAGCCTTGGTTGCATGTTTACTGGAATGGTTATAACTACAAGTTATATGGCATACTCTCTTGACATCATTTATGCAGATGGTCTAAATTTGAGCGTACATGATTAAAAATGCGTAATTTTGGTTATGATTTGTTCATTGTACTTTATGTAGATATTTCGCAGAGATCCTTTCTTTTATGGCCATGACAACCAAGATCAGTTTATCCAAATAGTCAAGGTAACATCCATCTTTCTATTTTCCCTATTTTTATTGTGGTTCTAAATCACAGACCATCATTTAGCATATTAAATATTAATTTTTAACCAAGTTGCCCCCTCTAAATGATCCTTTGTAGAGATACTTTTCTTTCCAGATTTTAGTTATCGTTATTATTGTTAGTTACTATTTTTAAGTTATTGTTAATTATTATTTGTGATGTACAGGTGCTTGGGACTGATGAATTGAATGCATATCTTAATAATTATCATCTGGAACTTGATCCTGAAGTTGATGCACTTATTGGAAGGTATCATCTTACATTTAATTTTCCATATATCACAGAAAAATTGATTTGGTTATTATCAACTATTTATCATAATATGAACTTCCATGGGAGTGTATCATCACAACTATTTTTGATTTGATTATTTTCTGTTTCAGACGTAGCAGAAAGCCCTGGTCTAAATTTATTAATTTAGATAATCAACATCTGGTGTCACTTGAGGTGACTCTTCAATTTTCTTATCTGGCATTGACCTTGTATTTAGTTTGGACTGCAATTTAACAATTATTCTATGACATTGTAGACAATTGATTTTCTTGATAAGCTCCTTCAATATGATCATCAAGACAGACTAACAACTAGAGAAGCAATTAATGGTAATGATAAAGAGCTCATTAGTTGGTAGTAGTTTTTCAATTTGCAGTAACATGGTTCTTTTGTTCCATAAACTTTTAACATATTTTGGTTTAACAAATATTTATATTTTGGCAAAATCATAATTTTCTTCTTTTAAGTTTGTTTTAGGTTTTAGTTTAGTTTTCTTAGCTTTTTTTTTTTTAAATTCTATTTCATCTTTTTTTTTTTGGTGCCCATTTTATCCTCTCTAACTTTTTGTTCGATGCGATCTTCTAGGCTATTTTTTTATGCCAACATTTTGGACTAAGGTTTCTTCTTTTGCACTTCAATGTCAAATTGTCCCAGTCCGACAACCTTATACGTGAGGTTGTTCTCTTAAAGTGAAGTTAAAGCAAAATGTTGGGGAAAAAAATAATTAAACATTGAATTGAATTTAAAAGGTTAGAGAAATATATTGACAAAAAATAGTTTAAAAATACTAAATTGAGTAAAAGAGTTAGATGGTCAATTGAAACTTAAGAGGACAAAAATTATAAAGAGATTGTTGCTATACCCTCAATAAATGAAGAGTTTTATTATTGTCTCTGATGTGTACCAATAGAATAGATACACATTATTTAATAAAATTATGTCAGTCTTTTAAATAATTTTTATCTTTTATTTAAATTTTTTTTATATTATTTATTTTTAAATTCTTATTAATATTTTTGAAATAAAAATAAAAATAAAAATAATTATTAGATTTTTCGTTTGTTGTTGTTGGGGTTGTAGATTTCGATCAAATGCTTCAGTTAAGTTTTGTTTGAGGAAGAAGTTCACACAAGTACATGTAGGTTTGATCAAAAATTGGATTTGTCGACAAAGTTTCGAAATGTGCGGGAGATCGGAGGTTAAAAATGTATCAAAGGAACCCGAGAGTGTAACTTGTGAGGAAGGAAGAGATCATATCTATTATGAGGAAGGAGATTGGAGGGTGTGGAAGGAGATTGTCTCTCCTCCTTCAAGATTGCCTCACGTAATAATTAACATTGAATTCAAAATCGAGTGGTAACATAAAGAATAAGAGTAAATAATGATAAATAAAAAAAATTTCAATCGCAAGTGAACATGTTTAAGTTAGGGTTCCCAAAAATAGAAAAATAATTTTTCAATAAAAAAAATTAGGAACCAAATTAAAATATACAAATGCAAAATGATCATGTAGCAAAAATTCAAATAACAATTTCAAAATCCTCCCAAAATGTTAGGGTGTACGGTAGAAATTTTCAAATTATAATTGTCTTATAGTTTGCACGTGTTTGATTAATTAGTCAATTTATTTATTTTTAAGCTGCGTGCACTAACTTTTTGTTATCATCTTGGTGTTTATCTTATAGGCACATCCATATTTCTCTCTAGTAAGGGTAGTAGAAAGTAGCAGAATGAGGAAATAATAACTTAATCATATATAGATCCATAAAGTTGAGTCAATATATTTGGGATTGTTTTATGATACCTCAACGCACACCTTAATTATCTTATTTTTATTGTAGTGATTAGTTTTCTTGTGGAGTTTATCGATATTATGTTTTTCAGTTGAGGAATAATGTTATTACCTGTTATTGAAAATTAAATTGTCTTGAAAGTTTGTTATTATAATTATGTTCAAAAGCTTAAATAACTTGGGTTGGTTGAGTTGAAAAAAAAAATCTCATTGAATTAAAATTTGATCATTAATAAAACAACAAATTATATTGTTTTTGTTACTATTGTTTATCATATAAATCTTAGGAGTATTTTACTAAATTAATAAATAATTTTTTAATTTAATTTAAATTAAATTATATGATATTAATTTATGGTTAACATATCATATGCCTAAATTATAATTATATATATAAAGTAAAAATATCAATTCTTCAAATTAAAATTACATATAATTTTTGAAAAAATAACTAACATTTTCCAATAATTATTAATTTATTAATCATAAGAAAATTTAAGTTTAAATAAAATTTAAGTAATACAAAGCATAAAAAAAATATTAAATATAAACTTTTATCACCTTTTTTACATGATATTTATCATATTAGATTATAAATAATATATATTTTCACATGATATTGATATAGGAACTAAAATGTATTGTTTTGAGAGAGACCAGAATATGCAATGTTTGGATATATAAAAATTAAAAAAAAAAACTTAAACAAATATAAGAACCAAATAAAATAAGTAATTAATTAAATAATTGAAGATACCACAACCTCAGTATGCCAAGAAGGCACTCAAGTAAACTCCACATGGCCGCATCAACAAAATTTTATGAGTGTTACATTGCAACTGACAGTAAGGACTAATGGATAAAAATAAAAAATAAAAAATAAAAAACTGCTTATAGTTTTTGGGTATTAAGGCTAAAACAAAAGGCAAAGTCCTGGTTAGTATTTATATACAATCATCATATATCACCAAACAAGGTGCAAATGCTAACTTGATAAAAATGTCTAGAAAAAACAATTGATGGACACTCAATTGTTAGAATATACGTAGAAAACAAAAGAAAGAGAGAAATACATATTAGATAATAATATGAAAAGAAGGGATAAAAAATAATTATAAATGTCATTACGCTGTTTACACCATGCAAGTGTTCATATATAGCAACTCAAATGTCTAAGCATTGGCTTTGACACCTCGGTCTCCAAGACTCCGATACTTCCAATCTTGATCTATCAAACTTTCAAACCAAAATCTCACTGAAAAGGTTAAATTACAAGCTGAAAATGTATGTTTGCGTTGTTAGCTTGTAGAAATCAAAATAAGTCATATTGTACGGGTGCATATTGCACAGTTATTACTCATTATTTAGGGACATATTAAATCCACTGGGCCGAACGGAAACATCTGCATACTATTTTATCTTTGAGCTCAAGACACCAAAAAATTCATTACGAATCCAGACTTATGTAAGCCGAAATAATTGATAGTCAAATAATTCCCATGATAAGAGTAGAATTTAAGTTTCTGTAACACACTTTAATATTAACACGACCAATCATTAGACAGTTACATTTGGACAGAAAAGAAAGAGAAAGCATCACACAGTTTTTTGCCCTGTCATTAAGGGAAATCATAATAAAAACGCCCTACTCTCCTTGTCCCTCCTAATTCCCAAGGCACAAACACAGAGAGACACATTTGATATAAATAGAAAATGAGGAATTTCTCTTTGAATAGGTTTAGGAAGAGGCCACAATGATATCAAGTTTTCTCCCATTTGTGCTCCCCAATATTGTTCACTTCTTCAGATGAGGAAAACAAGCATCAACATCAAATTTAGGGTGTTTTGCTTCAGCATGCTCCCTACACTTCACTTCCGATGTGGTGCACATAAATGTTTGCATGCACACCTTGCACTGCAATCATCAATCACAACATTATTGATGATCAGTAAGGAGTTCCAATTTTGCTGCAATCACTACAACAACGTGTATATTTCAATAATTTAACTAGAATATATATGACATAACCAATTTTGAAAGCAAAGTCTGAAATAGACTGCTAAGATCATGTAGTGCAAGGTAAAACAAGGAGATGTCATCTCCCCCAGCTCAAAAATAACACGTCTTAGATGCAGATAAAGTATGCCTCTCCAGAAAAAAGTTGAACCAAAATACTTTTCGTTTTGTTATTTTCATTGTTATATTTTTCCTTTTGTTCCAATTAGGTAAATATTTTGAAATATATTAAGCTCAGAAGTACAAAACTCATGAAATTGAGGTGATATATTTAAGAATTGACAATGACCATTGACCAAGCTTTGTATGAAGCCTGAATCCTATTTTTACTGTTTTTATTAAATGTAAATGCATATTAGTGTGATAAAACTCTAATTTTAATCAGAGAATAACACCAACCATACATAATGAACTGTACTTAAATTTTGTTCTAAAATATTCTATCAATGAAGAAAAATTGAAATAACTCTAAAGAACTCTTTTAGCTGTAACATAAATATGGCTGAATGCTGACATTAGCAGATCTATTCAGAAATCTCCATTCGAAATAATGCACAACAGTATTAATTATCGAACTTCATTATTCTATGCAAGAAATCGTGCGGGAAATTCAACTTACACGGAGAAAAAGAAAAGTAGTTCAAAAATATCGAGTTGTTGTGAGATACAAACACTGTATTTATTACCTGAATCGTCATTGCTTTCTTGTTTGATTCCAACTGGCTTCCTGAGCATACCAAACAAAATACTAAAATCATGAACTGAGCCAAATCCAACACGTACCATCTCAATTTTCAGAAACTTTTTCAATTTATTGTTTGCTCAAAAAAACAAAGGCATCAACGTTTGTATTGTAATGCCCAACCAACACGCCTATTTAGAATCCAAAATTTACGCGAGAAGAGTTATTCCATTCCTTATAAAAGGGAATCTTTTAATGAGAGTGAACACCACCAAAAAAAGGGTTACCACCTATTGAGAGAGAAGTCATCAACCCATGTGAGAAGGGGTGAAGTTTATTTATTTATTTTTATTTATTTATAAGTTTTCTCAAATTTATCCAAAATGTCGAACCGCGTTAAATCGACATCTTCCTTGTTTATGTTCATGTTGCATTTGTTTGTGTCCATTGTTTTATCTTCATTGTACGTGAACGCGATCTTTCCACGACACAATTGAACAACGATGAATGAAACATTAATCGGTTAGAATGAGGGGCAACAAAGATTACCCTTTCCTGCGGCCTTTTGCTTCTCGAGGTTCTTCTCACGAGCCATCTTTGACTTTTGTGCATTGCCTCCTCCCATGTCTGGATGAAACGTTGAAGACCCTAATTTGTTTTTTCTCAAGTCACGGAAGCAAGAGAAGAAGGAAAATACGAATGGGGATATAAGGCTCAATGGTTAAGGTCTGAGGCCCCACCCAAAATATTTGGTCGCACCAAGAAGGAAATAAAGTAACTCTCCATTTTTATTTATTTTTTAATAATGGGGTCATTGGGGGTGGGGGTTACAATTTGTCTATGTATCAAATGCAACAAACGGGTAATTTTAGTTTATAAAAATTCAATTATTTAAGTTAAGTCATTATACTTTTTAAATCAATTAAATTAAATTAAATTCTTAAAATTGTTTAGATAAATTTCTCATAAAAATTTATAGAAGAAAAGTATATAGGAAAAATAAAATAATATTGTCTAAAACTTTTTTATTGATATTTTTTCCCTATAAATATTTATGAAAAAAATTATCTAAATATATTTTTTTAAAATTAACTAAATTTAATTAATTCAGAAATTTTAAAGACTTAATATAATTAATTAATTTTTTTATTTATATATAAATTAGTTTCAGTTTATGAAAAATTAGTTTATTTTGAATTTTCTTTTTCAATAATAAGGGATTCTAAAAGGGTTTGTTCAAACAAAACTTTTAATATTACTTTAAACTTTTAACATTCAGATGATGTGGATGTCATTTTGTAATGTGTCAACAACATATTAAATGATATCAAAATATTATTTAAAGGATAAATTTGACTTAAATTATAATATTTGTTTAGTAATTAACTGAGTAAATTGATTTGACTATGTTATGATACGATAATAACTTGGATTTTAATCTATCTAATATACAAGCATGTTTATTATATAATTAAGTTTTATAAGAAATTATATATAATAAATATTATATTTAAATATATAAATTATATTTAAAATTAGTATATATATACATATTTTTAAATATATAAATTAAAATTTTAAATTTATGATAAGTAATATAAATAAAAATTGAATTAAATAAAAAATTACAAAATCTATTATTAAAAAAGAGTCATTAAAAATACTTTTATACGAGATAAAAATTTATATTTAATATATAAACGTTCATTTTATATAACATGATACTTCATTTTAAATCACAGAATATAATTTTGGATAGTTTTGGTCCTATATGAAAAGCTAAAGGAGGTAATAGATGATCAAAGGAAGTAATATTTTAACTTAAAACCATATTTTATTGAGTTAAAAAATACAGATTTGATTAGATAACCTTGTTTAGCTATTATTTTTGGCGAATCAGGCTTAAAGTTATCATTCATTAGCTCGTATAGCTCCTCTATTTTGACTCGTCTTGAAAAAAAAAAAAAAAGTATATGACAAGTCGAGGCTAGCTCATTGGGCTAATTTAAGTATGTAATTTTTAACATTTTTTATTTACATTTGTTTGTGTGTTGTTGTCTTGCCTTTCTCCAAATTGCGCAATTTGTCAAGCATATAATTTTTAGTCTTTCTAAAATTTTTCATTTTTTTTATATATATTAAATTAACTTTTTTAGAAACAAAACATGTTTTAGTTGATCCTTATTTGTACTTTTGGTAGAACCGACATTGTATATATATTTTAGTAAATAAAGATCGATTTCAGTATATTTTATTCTTATTTATATAATATTGATATAAAAACAGGTATTTGATAATAGAGTTTAACAATCATATACCATTTTATTTTATTTGTGTAAAATATTTTTATATTATTAATTAATTAATATTTTTATCCAAACAGATACATCAGAGATTATATTTATGAGAGATTAGTTGTTCAATATTTTTTTCTTTTGTTTCTTTTATTTTATATAACCAAAATAAAAATAAAAATAATCATAGATATAAAAATTAAAACAATTATTTTATAAAAATTAAATAGTTATCATACAGCATATAATTTGTGATTTGCCACCCAAAAATCAAAATACTTATTATATATTAATTGAGTTTTGTCGTTTAGAGTGATTTTATTTAACTTCGAACAAAATTACGGAGAATAAATGTGATTTATACTTAAAAAACAGTGTTATATATATATATATATAGACCAGTAATTATAATGATATCACCAAGTTTCAAACTTGAATCCTTTTGTAAATGGTTACAACTTTCATTTCTACATCAATCCTAATTTTATAATAGTATATAATTTGTGATCGAATAATAATATAAAAAGAATAAATTTAAATTCTAAATAAAAATGGGGCTGAAATTATTTAACTATAAAACGGGAAACTGTTATATAAATAGAATCGTTTCACCATGGGATTTAGTTACTTGGTAATTTCATTTTTTTTTTTTGAAACTAAGTAATTAATTTTCCCTTCAAAGTTCCTAGCCCCGGTGTAGTCGAGGTGGTGGAGGAGTCGTTTTCCAACACCGACTTATAATTGTATATCGCTCCCGTAAAACATTATGTATATCTCCCGTAAACCATTACATGTTGTTACACCTAACCTAACAAAAGATCAAAGGGGAGTTTTAAAGTTTTTTTTTTTTGAAGGAAAAAAAAAACTTAGTCATTTAATTAAATTCAGAATATTTAAAAATGTAATTTGTTTATTTCTATCTTAATATCGTTGATTGTTTATAAGTCTATGAAATAAATTTAAATATCTTATCTTAAATATTAAAGATAAAATTTAGTTTGAATTTCAAAATTTGATAAGATAATTTAAATATTTTATCTTAAGATATTATCCTAATTATTAAAGATAAGATTTAGTTTAAATTTTCTAAGATTCAATAATCTTTTATCCATCTCATATTAGTAAATCCATCTCGTGTACATCTCAGATTATATAAGGATGTTACATTTGCTTACTAATCCCAAATCTAAAAAACGAAATACTTTGTTTATAGCATCTCGGTAGACCAGATATTCCGGTTCATATCCGGTTGGTACACGAATATACCTTGCTCTTCTGTGCTAAAACCATTTTTTCCTATTCTTATTGGTGACATTATCATCATCAGAAAACAGTCCAGTTCCCACACAAAATCTCAAATTCTCTCTCCATTACCAAGCCATGGAGCTCTTATGGGAGCTTGCCTTCACCATAGCTCTTTCTCTTTTGCTTCCATTGGTTTTCCTCAAACTCCTGTCGGTGACCCCAAGCTTCGAAGCAAATGAGGAACTGGCTGTTATTGGGCGTGATCATGATCATGGTCATGATCACGGGGTTAAATCTGATTCTCAGAGCTGGGAAACAGATGAAGTTGTTCAAATTATGGGGAAAATTGATGAATTCAGAGACAAACCGATACTAGGGAAACTAATAGTCCCAGAAATTGTGGATGAGAGTTTTGGATCGCACAAGATATGCAATTCAGAGAAGATTGATGAGACCAAAGTTTACAACAAAATTGAACTGGTGGATTTGGCAGAGGATCATTTTGGGGATAAGAATAATCAAGGGGTTGTTAATATTAACAAAGTTGAGGTTGAATTGATGGAGTGTGACTCTGGAGAACACAAAGTTGAAGAGGTTGAGATCTGGCAGTGCGAAAGAAATTATAATGAGATTGATGAATCTGGTAAGAACGAGGAAATTGGTGAAAACGGGGGTTTGGTGGTGGACGAGGATGATTGGGAGGGAATAGAAAGAACTGAATTGGATAGGCGTTTCAGTGCTGCAGTTGTATTTGTTGGATCCAAGAGCAATGTTAATAATCTCAGTAATGATGTGAAGATGAAGCTTCATGGTTATCACCAAATTGCTACACAGGGTCCTTGCCATGAGCCCCAACCAATGACACTAAAGTTCTCTGCTCGAGCTAAGTGGTAGTTTCTTGCTCTACTTATTTAAGACAAAACGCAGATACTGTATCATAAATATTGCTAGTATTAATTTGCAGACATAATTGAAGTTTTATCTCGATATGTTAATATGAATTATTATTAAGATGAAATTCCAATTTTGATCGGCATAAACAACACTTATGATATTGCATCTATGTTTTATCTATTTATTTATCTAAAATAATTAGATCCTTTTCCTTTTAGCTCAGTTTTGGTTTGAGTTACTTAAGAGTTTCAGTTGCTTCGTTAGATTCATTGATGTGGTTAACTGGATTTTTGTTTATAAGGATTGCATGGCGACAACTTGGGATTATGAGTTCAGAGCATGCCATGGAGCAGTATATCAGTCTTTTATCAGAAAGCATTCCTGATTGGATCGCAGAAAATCCTCGTGTAAGTATGTAGTTTTACTACACTATTCTGTTACCCTTTTCCAAATAAAGATAAAATATTGATTGAGTACGATTTGTATTTTATTTGGTCCCTTGGTTAGTTGGAGTTAACGTGATGAACAAGAGAAGTTTTGTTCCTTTCCTCAATCGTTCTATCTTTTATTAGATCTATCGGATAGAGTCTTGAGTCTTTATGTTAACTATGAAGAAATGAATTTTTGTATTACGGAGCTTATCATGTTGGATTTTTACATTTCCTTTTATTATAGGATAATGCTAAACCTCATGATTTGAAGGCATAGCTACTATGACAAAGGAGCCGAATATTATAAAGTATAACCGCATAAGTCTATTCTGATGCTTAGCAATTGAGAAGATTTCCAAAATTGCAGAAATTTTCGGTTTTCAAGGAAGTCCCTAGCCATTGGATACTTAACGCACTACGCATGATAATGGAGTTGGGTTTACCGTTTACCATATTTTGCTGTGGCATTCTTTACTTTCTTTGATATCACTATAGATCCCTTTGATCGACGAATTGAAGAAGCACATTTCGCTTGTAAAATTATGAATTTATGATTATTGAATTGTAGTTAGTTGTAGACTTCTAGGCACATAATTGAATTATAATTCTACATCTTCCGTAGTTATAATGTAAGGTCTATTGCTATTGAACTTACATGGGTGTAGGGTAGATTTTTGAGTCCTGTGCGCATGCGTAAAAAACTGCATAGGGAAAATTGTTTATGGAACGAAATTATTTGCAAAATCTTTGACTGACATGAGTAGTGACCAAACAAAAAACCGCGACTATAATTTGGATGCAGCAGAAATTAATTATTTGAGTATTGACAAAAAAATTATTGCATGTTAGTTGAAAGGAAGATTGCACGTCATATTCATCAGTATTTTCCACGATTTCTTATTTTCAGCTACATGAAGAAAAAACCAAAGTAGAGGAGTCCGATGTCTCAAGGTAAAAATAACAACATTTTTTCGAAGAAGAGTATTTCTCGTTGAAGTTTTCCAAGTGGATCTCTCACTCTTAAGTGGATATTGGATAATTATTGTCCACGATCTAGTTCAGAGCAAAACTAGTAGTAATAAGAGTTCTTTTTGTCTTATAATTGAGAATTGTGATGGCATACCAATTATCAATGCAAATCATCAATGCAAAATAATAGCAAGTACAATTTTCAATGTACTCCATTATTCGATAAGAAATTAGTGCTATATATACATTTTCTCTTGCATTAGAAAACTACTATATGCATTAAGTGCATTATGTCGATAATTTATTAGGTATTCAGGAATTACTATTTATTATAGTTTTAACTATTTAAGTTACAAGCATTTAAAATTTTTAATTTGTCCGAAACAATTAATAACTTTCAAACATATATCATTATGTAGATCAATATTAAGCTAATTTGAGTGAAATTAGGCTCACATCTCTTAAATTAGAAGTGTACGAAAAATTTAAATTGATACAATCGATAATTTAATTTATTTTTTTAAAAAATTTTAAACTGATCTATTTTACAAAATAAGTTTAGTTATCCGATCTATTTTTATAAAGTGGGTCGGTTCGGTTTTGATTTTTAAAAAAATCGATTCATATATAAATAAAAAATGAATAATTACACTGCACCAAATTGATTAAATTTCAAAAAAACATATCCATATTTAAAAAAAAATCAAATCGATCAACTTTATAAAAAAAATAAATCGATTAACCGATTCATTTTTTATAAAACGGATCGGTTCAATTTGAATTTTTCAAAAATTTGATCCATTAACACTCCTACCTTAAATAAAATTTGGATTTGAATTTTATAAGTGAAAAATAAATAACTGTGAAGAGAAATTCAAATCTAATAAAAAAAATTTGTGAAAATTAATAATTAATAAAGATAGTAAATACTTCGCACATGTAATATGATATTATAAAATATTATGAGAGGATTAACAATTGACGGTAGAAGAGAAAGATTCATGAATTTAAAGTAATATGGTCAAATGTAGTATGCACTAGTGTACACATAAAGAGATATGAATATGGAAAACATAGATTATAAACACGTGTTTAAGTAATGTATTAATATTTATGATAGGATGGGTATTTTCATGTGTCGATACTTCATATGAGGAAAAATATAATTATTCAGTGTAGCAATCAATGATAAATATTTAAGAGCACCTCCAGCGGCAAGTTCTCAGAGCATTGCTTACTGACAAGCAACGGTGCTTAGAAGAAATCCCCGTTGGAGTGATCTCACGTGGCAACCCAGTTGCTTAAAAAAATTTCTTTGTTGCTTCTCCAAGCAACGGTGCTTAGCACTGAGGAGAGGCATTTGATTGGTTGAATCGGATCTACGTGGAACCTCCAAACAGCCAGTCCCGACAGCCCCCGCGCCCGA